TTTTTTTTTTTTGTGGGGAGGGGGAGGGATGGTCGTTGGGAAATACAGGAATCACGCTATGGGAAAAAAAAAAAAAAGAAAAAAAGACGCTATTCATGATATGCTACGATGCTTATGACGGATGACGTGTTCGTGGACGGCAGGCTTTTTTTAATCTTTTATTATTTGCGGAGTCTTTCATCCGGAAATTTAACAATTTGTCCTTCAGGACATCCGTTAAAATTGGAACGATACAGAGAAGATTAGCCCCTGCGCAAGGATGACACGCATGAAAAAAAAATAAAAAATAAAAAGAAATCTAGACAATTCTCTCAGTCTGACATGTACGTAGCTGTGGATGACCTGGTACAGAGCTCGTTCGGACCACCTGGTTCAGAACGTGGTCTGCACAGAGAACCTGGCTCGGAGCTCGATCGGACCATCTGGTTTGGATCTGGTTGGACCTGGTTTAGACTTAGTGTGGACCTGGTTCGGACTAGGTCTGGAGCTGGTTCGCAGCACCTGGTTGGCACAAGGTTCGGACGTGGCTTCTATTTTCTCTCTCTTGAAGATAAAATGCTCGGATCTATTAGTGGGGAGCCTTTTTTTTTTTTTTTTTTTTTTTTCCGTTGGAATCTTCACGTGCCGGGAAACGGTATGCCTATAGGTAGGAGTAGTGGTAGGTAGGTAGTGTGAGGAAAAATTGAGAGAAGAGTATAGTTAAAAAAAAAAAAGGGGCCCAGTGTCCCTGTGGAACATGTTCAGAAACCATAAGAGGACACCTGGCACCCCTACCGGTAGCATCAGGGGCGGTTGTTCTTATAAAAAATTGGGATAATTTGCAAAATACCCCTATAACTTGAGTTGTATGCCAAAATGCCCCTAAAAGATGTGGGTAGAGCGGATACCCCTCTGACAAAAAAAATGTTTTGTGAAATGCCCCTCGCGTCGGTTGGACCCGCCATCTTTTCAAAATGCCCCTACCGGGTACTGCCCATCTTTGCAAAATGTCCCTGTACCTGCCAACTTTTCCCAGGCCCTGATTATTTTCGTTTTACCCATACCAGGCCAGGTCATCTTTACGTTTTGCCCCCTGGCGTTGGAAGCCTACAACGGCCCTGTCCAGGCCCCAGGAAGCCACTAGCGGGCCCGACGTCATCTTTGTGTTTTGTCCTCTGGCCGTTGTAGGCCGAAAACGGCCCTTTCCAGGCCCCAGGAAGCCAATACCAGGGGAATTGTGGAGACAGTACTGTGCTTTCTTGACGTCTCGGCTGCCGTTGCAAGTCAGTGTCTTCTTCTCCCACCCAATTCACCTCCCATTCATGGGCAGGGTGCAGAAACAACTCTGGAGTTAAGGGGTTTCTGAACTTTTATGATGAGTTCGACCTGCATGAAACAGCAGCGGCCAGTGCTATGATGAAAAGGACGTCCATGACACACACAGCACACACAGCACACACAGCACACACAGAATACACAGCACACACAGCACAGCACACACAGCCAGGGTAGGCTGTTGCAGACCAGCTCTACTAAACCTGAGCACATCCCTTCCAAATGCAACCGTTCTATTGAACCTGAGAGTCAATGTGCAGCTTTGCAACACGAGCACTGCAGTCAAGACAGTGCACCTGCCTGATAGTCTATATTCAGCTGCACAACACGAGCACTGCAATCTGGTGAACTAAACATCGAACAGAACAGCAACTCCAAACAGATTACTAGATGACCTGTTGCAGCTTCGGCGGCAAAAGAATATTGGGAAAAAGGTGAAAATAACGGAAAGCATAATGAACTACCTGTCCTACGATTCGCTGCTTCGTTGCAACTAAGAAAAGCAAAAAAGGTGTTAAAAAACATTGTAAACACAAAAAAACCCTGTCATTCGATGTTTCTTTCCCAATAACAGACGGAAAAAAAGCTACACAAGCATGATAAACCACAAACCACGATGAACCACAGGCAGGTTACTAATCTCTCTCTCTCTCTCTCTCTCTCTCTCTCTCTCTCTCTCTCTCTCTCTCTCTCTCCCCCCCATCTTTGTGTCACTTGTTACCCTTTCCAGTGTTCCACCCGTAAAAAAAAACACGCCGTCAAAATCGGTGGCAACTACTCCAGTCGTTCCTCCCTCTAAAAATCCGGCGTACCGGTCTCCACGTCGTACCATTCCAGCGCCAAGACGTCCTATAGAAAAATCCTTTTGAGTCACGTCCACCGAAATGCATCAAATTTTGTGTTTCTTCATAGTAGGGGGAGGCAATTTTTCATTGTGAGGGTTGTATCACAGTATTATCACGACAGACCAGTGATGATGCCACGTGGCTAGAACACGCCATGCTGCATCGATTTATTATGCCTCATTGCCTATTCTCAAGAAAAGGGGCTGGTAGCGGGTAGCCATTTTTCACGACGAAAGGTCATCTCGACGAACGTATCACCATATCCACATAGAGGACTATCAAGATTGATCAGCCCCTGGAGGCTGATGTGCGAAAGCAAGAAGAGAAAACACATGGATCACAAGAGAGAGAGAGAGAGAGAGAGAGAGAGAGAGAAGAGCGGGATAGCTGGGCCAGGATAGCGGGGCAGGATAGCTGGAGTGGCACATGCAGAAGAGAGAGAGAGAGAGAGAGAGAGAGAGAGAGAGAGAGAGAGAGAGAGAGAGAGGGAGAGGGAGACGAGGAGCGGGATAGCTGGGCCAGGATAGCGGGGCAAGATAGCGGGAGCGGGATAGCGGGGCGGGATAGCGGGAGCGAGATAGCTGGAGTGGCACATGCAGAAAAGAGAGAGAGAGAGAGAGAGAGAGAGAGAGAGAGAGAGAGAGAGAGAGAGAGAGAGAGATCAGGAATGACCAGCAGGAGGATTTCAGACATGGTGACCTGTCATAGGAGGAGAACTTGGAGGGTTGGGGGGGAGGAGGAGTTGGAGATGGGGAACCTTACCAGGGTGGAACCAGGACGATGTTGAAAGCTGCCGAACACAGCGGGAGACAGAGGCAGAGACTTGGAACGCGTTTGAAAGTTTGAATCGCGGAGGGAAACTGCCGTGCCTACGGGCTTGGGTATTCCGCAAAGTTGTCCACCTGGTATGGAGGGCAAACCGGGTAAAACAGGGTGCAGGCCCAGGCCCGAACGTCGCAGTCCAGATTGCAAATTTGCACACGGGCCTGACAGGGGCAAAACACAAAGATTTAGGCCCAAAAGGGCATTTCGCTCTACCCACATCTTTTAGGGGCATTTTGGCATATAACTCAAGTTATAGGGGTATTTCGCAAAAACAAGAAACAAAAAAAAGGATAAACGGGGCCCGCTTTGCCTTGCGAAGAAAAAAAGAGCCCGGATGGGCCAACGCTGAGAAACCTGTACCTCCAAACCGGAAAGCAATAGAGACTGTCTGTTCAGCCCAGATGGGTGCCGCCTGATATTTCGTCTAAACCACGCAGGACCTGGCTTGGATCAGGGTTTAGACCAGATTTAAGCCCGGTTTAGATCTGCTTGGTGTGGACCTGGTTGAACGTGGTTTGGACCTGGTTTGGACCTGGTTTGGACCTGGTTTGGACCTGGTTTGGACTACATTTTGAGCTGCCTGGGTGGTTCACACCACACGGTTCAGATCTGGACCACGTTTGAGCCACATTCGGATCTGCTTCGGTCTTAAAGTTTGTGATCAGGACCGAATGCAGTCCCATGAGACCCGCCTAAGGTTGGACGAGTCCTGGAACACACACGTGGGAGCTGTTGCTTTGCATCATGAAGAGATGACACGTGGCGCAGGTACACTAGGTGTACGAGTTTCCGTCCAAGTTAACACGCGATGGTCACATTGCTCTCATTGTACACTTTTCTCTCTTTTTTTTTTTTCTTTTTTCTTTTTTTTGCAGAAAAATAAACTGAATAACCAGGGTCAGCCTACAAGGGGCGGTGATATGAGCACGGCATTACTAGGCCAGTGATCGGTTGCTCCAATCTATTGGTGGGGAGGTGCACCTGCTGTAAATCCGGTTCAGCGTCCCAGAACATCAATAGTTCCGGCTCTACATTCTTTTTTTCGCTTTTTTTTTTTTTTTTTTTTTTTTGGTAAGAGCACCCACATCCTGGTTCACACTAGCTGTGGGGATAAGAGCACCCACAGCTAGTGAATACCTTCTGCTGCCTCCAATCTATTTTTCCGGAGCAGCACAAGCTGGAAACCGGGTCCAGCGTCCCATGTGAAACAGAAAAACAAAACCGGACTGCACAACCCCAGGCCTCTTCACCCTCTGNTGGGGATAAGAGCACCCACAGCTAGTGAATACCTTCTGATGCCTCCAATCTATTTGTCCGGAGCAGCACAAGCTGGAAACCGGGTCCAGCGTCCCATGTGAAACAGAAAAACAAAACCGGACTGCACAACCCCAGGCCTCTTCACCCTCTGACGGCGTCAGGTTAGCTTGAAGATCTAGCCTCTATACAAAATACATACCTTGATTTTTACTTCTTCTTTTATTTTTTTATTTTTTTATTTTTTATAGAAAGCCCAGGGTGTTGTAGAGGCCAAGGACCAGACCTGCGGTGATTCCGAGTAGCGGCAGCCAATGGTTGTCCTGATAGGATAGGCCACCTGCCCTACCCATCCCCACGATAATACTCCCAGCGCAACCCCTGTCCCTGCTATCCTACCTCAGTGTGACCAGCACTCCGGACCATCACCCCTGTCCCTACTATCCTACCTCACTGTGGCCAGCACTCAGGACCAGTATCGAGGGCAACTTGGACCAGACAGCAGTGACAAGCGCCAAGGCTGGGCCAACCTCCCAGCCGTGATGGAAGCGGAAGCGGACAAACCTTGCCGTACGGGAACTTGGGACGCCAGGCTCATGCAATCTTCTACAGGCCCAATTCAGGGAGTCTACCCAGCAGGATTACCTAAGCAAGGCAGGCCAGCGCCCGTATTCCTACTACTGACCAATCAATATAATTCAAGAAGTTGGCAAGCTCAAATCCGGAATTTATGAGCCTGGGTAGGCCCTGGGTCTGCCAGGCATTACATACTAATGATCAGTTCTCGGGGAGGAGATATAAAGTATGATCTTTCTAAACCTCCCATTCAAGGTGGTCTAGGCCCCAGAAGCCATGGAGTGAGAGATAAACCCCGATCTGTCGTTCTTCTGGACAGCCTCCCCTCAATGCAATTTTAAAAGTTCATTGCTTATTCCAAGTGGATGCCTGTTTTCCTTTGCCAGCACGTTTTTTTTTTTTTTTTTTTTTTTTTTTTTTTTGTTGTTGGAAGAATCCGAAACTTTTAGGGAAAAGTTTTGAAATGCCCCTGAAGTTTGCGTTTATTTGCGATTTGCCCCTCCGATGGCCGACGTACCTTGATTTGCCCTTGGGCCTCTGAACTTCGTGCAGGCCCCTGTCAGTGAGGAGAACAACTTTTTGGAATGCCCCTACCGGACCGGCGATCCAATTTCCCCTGCTGCCTGACTGATTTTCCCTTCTATGGGGGATGCATCTTCCCGAGATGACCTCCATCACGGAGCCCCTAAGAATTTGAATTCAAACCCCAGACTTTTCCAGGCTGCTGCGCAAAAAAAAGGGCTGCACTCCATGTCGTGTCCGCTGCTGCAATCCACCGTGCAGTGCATTCTTCAGCTACTGCGACCTGCCGCCACCTTGGACGTCCGCGGAGTACGTTGGCGAAGGTCAGTGTATCTCCCCTTGTT